TGAGGAGGGCAACGACTGAGCTAGGGGTAGCAGAGCGGGTACTGCCAGCTACTGTCCCTAAGAGCTGTTCTCGGAGGTCCCTGCCTCCCTGAACCCCTCCAGGTAGCATGTTCTTCCCCCTCAAGGGGATGCTGGCAGCAAAGGCCCCCAAGGGTAGCCTTTCTGGTCCCCTGAGGGCCACCAAGAACTGGGAAGTAACACGTACTGCCTCCCCCATCTGAGCCTTCTGTATTTTATTGGAGAGATGTCTTCTGCCATCACGGTGGAAGCCACTTTCCTGGGCTGCTCCCCATTACCTCGGGCTGCCCTTGTCTCTGGTACGTGGTCAGATTGACAGATAGGGAACGCAGGGGAAAAGTGTGGGATCAGGCTGTGTAGGAGCATCTCTCACACGCATTTGAAGTCCTTCTCCCATCGCCACCATCTCCCCTGCCCTGTGGCACTGTGTGCTCTGCCTTCCTTCTTCCCCTGTCTACCTCACCTCTGGCCCCAGGGCACAGGGAGCGTGGCTTATATGCCTATGCCTCACTGCGGCTGGAGTGACACTAAGATTGCAACAAACCCTCGTTTTATAGGAGCTGTACTCTTTATTGCTTGTAAATTATTAATGGAGCCTTTTATTGGCAAACCGTGTGTAAAGGAGAATTAAATACCATTCATAATGGGAATGGGTGGCAGGCTGTGGGCTTGTGTGTTACTGGGAAGGTATGGTTGATGCACAATGGAATATTTTTCTTCTCCATTAGGCCAGCCCTTTAGGGGAAGGAGGGAGCACTGAATTTGCTGTGGTAGGGCAGCAAGAGGTGTGGGTAGAGGACAGGCTAAGTGTGCCACTGACTAAGGCCCCTTTCTTTTCTACTTGCTCCCTGGTATTCAGTCCCTTGCCTCTCCCCAGCGCTGACGTTGGCCAGGTTACTTTAGGAAAGTCAGGGAAAAGCTCACTTGATGTGTCTGGCTGAGTCCCTAGAGGTTCACATCCCTCCATGCCCTGATTAGTGTTAAGTGACGAGCCAGTTACCTCATTCTCCTGAGGGACAACAGGGAGACTGAGCCCAGCCAGGCTGCTAAGAGAAGGGGGGATGGTGCCCCTGAAAGAGGTGGTTCTCACCTTAACATGGGGCCAAGCATGGGTTCAGACTCTGGCAGAGGGAAGACAGAGGGTTTGGGTAGCTGCAGCAGTGCTCACCTATGATTCCTGACCAATTGCCATTATCAGACCCACTGTGGGAAAGGGGTGCTGGGATACCCATGCCGCGGAGAGGTGGTGGTAGGTGGTCTTTCCTGAGGCATGCAAGAAGAAAATGAAATCTGTGGCTCTGTGAGACTTCGTGGGGCGTGTGGTCAGGCAGAGAGCTGTGTCCACTGATTCTGAGGTTAATGGGAGAAGATGGGCACCAGAGTCAAGTCCTCTTTGTGTCCTCCTTGCCCCTGTGATTTGGCACTGCTAGTACCATGCACTTTTAAAGCTCTGAGCAAAGATTAACTTGCTGATGTTCACGAGTCCCCTGTGAGGTGTTATTTCAGGCTCTAAACCAGTTGCCTGTGTCTTTTATGAGGACAACAGTGAAGGGGGGAGGAAAGAAAATGAAGATTTTAACTTGCAGTCACTAAAATGTAGAGCAAAATCCTAGGTCTGCCCTGGAGCCATGCAACTCTCCTCTCAGGGAAGGGGGAACTGGCATACACATAGCTCCAGATGAAAGCTCCCAAGTGACACCCACTCTGGGGGATGCAGCCTGAGCATCCCAGCACAGCCAGCCCCCTGGGAGGGTACTTGCCCTGCAGGCAAACAAAGTGGGACTCTTGTTGAGCTGATGAGAAGACAAGTCCCAAAACAAGCTCCCATCCATCCTGTCATGGGTCTGGAGATTAGAATTTGCAACTTTGCAGGAAAAAAACGTAGTGCTTGAGTATCCAGGAAAAACACTCTGTATGAGGCACTCTGACTTGGGGCTTGAAAATTCCAACTAGCCTTGCTGTCACTTGAGAGCCAGTCCCAGCCCTATAGCCTAGGCTGAAGGTGGTAAAAAGCCAGCCCTCCCATTTTGGGGAGTCAAGCTGTGCTCCCAGCTTAGCACTTGCTGGCGCCCAAAGAAACATGTCCCCCAGCACCTCCCTGGGCCATCAGCTGGAGGGAAAGGGAGGCAAAAGAAGGTTGCTGGGAGGCAGGTTGGCACTGTTCAGGTAGCTGAGCAGCAGGAGGCACTGCCTTGCCTGCTTCCAGGCTTCTTCCAGGCTCTCTCTTTATCCAATTTGTCTTCCCCGAGGCTTTCAAAATCCAGCTTTAATTTGTTCTGGACACAGGTGAGAAGCAGGGCAGAGGGCTCCAAGGCAAACATAAATGCCTTCCCACTGCCCTGCACGCCCCAGACCACCTTCTTTGTACTTCTGGGAGGGTGGCTGCCTGCTTGGAGGAATGAGTCATGGGTTAGGTAACAGGCAGAATGCAATTAGCAGCCCTGGGCACCAATTACCAGCTGTAACAGCCTTGTGCAAGCCCCTGTAAAGAGTCACCAAGAACACTATTTTTCCCTCCAGGGAGGGAATCGGCATGGCAGCATGTGTGTCACCCTGGGAAGTCACCAGCCCTGTCCATGCTGGCCCCCTGTCCCAGCAGAGCTTTCTGGCACCATGCTCTGTACAAGGTAGCTTTGAATTATATTTGTAACATCTGGGGACATCACTAAGGCTCCTCTGCCTCTGTCCCATCTTTCCCTCCCAGATGATCTCCTAAGCCAGGCTGGGAAGTGCTGCAGGATGCCTGGGAGCCATGGAAGCTGCCTTTGCAACTGCCTGGGGCTGCTGGAGTGTGGCAGGAACACTCAGGGAAGTTAATTTCTGGTTCAGGAGCAATGGCTAGCTGTGGGAGCAATCCCAGTATTGAGCATAGAGGCAGTGGATCAGTCACACCAGGTTCACATCCCTGCAGTAATGTAAGGCCTGAAGGTGAATGACTCCCCCTCCCTGCCCCATGTAAGCATCACTATTCAAAGGAATCTAAAAGTAAAACCTGCAGAGACCCTCCAAAGGGATATGGGAGATGCTCTGGAGATGTTCTTGCTTCAGGGGAAGGCTAGAGAGAGACTTGGAGAAATACAGTGGGGGAGGGAAGTGGATTCAGTGGTTTCTTCCTTACAAAAGAAAAAAGTTGTACCCAGGGACAAGGCTAGGGTGAAAGTGTGTCTGAAACCTGGGGAAACGGAGCACATGGTTTTAGCCCTGTGGGGCAATCTTCCCTGTGCGCCTGGAAAGTGTCTACGTCCGGACACACAGTGGGAGCATGGAACAGAGGGACCCTGATCCCTGCCCTGCCCCTGTTTTCTAAGGTCCTATGGTCTGACATGTGCACAGGGAGGGGGTGCCCTTTTTCTCATGGAGCCATTCTGCACCCCCACCATTTCTCCTGGGCCCCCTTCTTATTACTTTTTATTTTTATTTTTTTAGTATGCTGAGATTGGATGCCCACAGCTTGCAGCTCCCTGAGGAGGTGCTCTGATTTTGGCAGCTTATGTAGAGCACTACCATCCTGCTGTCCCCCCACAGAGAAGCTGGGGTGGGGGTAAGGATATCATCCCCCTCCTGGGCTGGTTGTCTCTCTGTACCCCCCTGGCTGCTCTGTAGAGTGGCCTACAGGTAGTGTGAAGGGGACCTGCATGGTCATCATCAACCCCATATCAAACTGAACCAGCAACAGAATGCAGCAATCCCCTCTGTGGTGGTCTTTGTCTTGGGAGGAGCTCTCATACCTTTTGAGGGTCTCTGATATCCCTATCCCTTGTTGGCAACCAGATGGCTGGGAGTGAGGGTGACACAGGGGAGATGCACACCTGTGTCCGATGGCGCAGGGGGGCAGTGAAGAAGGAGCTGGAGATAACATTTTGCTGCTGTGCCTATGGGTCTCTGGGGTTTTCCAAAGAGAGGAGACACCCCCCTTCCTTGCCCAGGGGAAGGGGAAAAGGGGAAAAGGAAGCTTCATCATGGACAACACAAGAGCCACAAAGGACAAGTTGCTGAGCTCAGCCCTGCTACAGCAGCAAGGACTTGGGTGGGATATAAACTCAGCCGTGAGGCTGAGCCCCATCCCTGCCTGGAAGTGTTCAAGGCCAGGTTGGATAGGGCTCTGAGCAACCTGGACTAGTGGAAAGTCTTCCTGTCCATGGCAGAGGGCTTGTAGCTGAATGATCTTTAAGGTCGCTTCCAACCCAGACCATTCTATGATTCTATGATTGAAAGGGAGGCAGCAGGCTCTCCATCACACTATCTGGTGTACCTGTTCCTGTGAATGTCACTGGTTCTGCAGTCACCTGGGCAGCAGAATGTCCGTGGGCATCCTGTGGGAATGTGAGATGGAGTGGAGGGCGGGGACTGTGTGGCTGGAGGCAGAGGAAAAAGGACCTTCAAGATCAGAGAGTATCTGGATCATGGTTTGGGAGATGGGTGGCAGAAGTGGGGTTCACACCCCAACTTGAGACTCTGGGGGCTGGGGGGAGGCAGAAGGGGACACACTGTCCTGCTTTGGGGAGGCAGGCTGGGATTAAAGGGCAGGGGCAGCAATTCAGACCTGTGTCCAGAGGAAAAGTTTGGGGCTGAGGGAATTCCTGGGGTAAAAAACGTTCTTCCCAAGAACAATACAGGACCCTGCACCTCACCTTCACCAGAGCCCACATCAATGCCACCGTCTCCTCCTCCTTCAGGAGCAATGGGCTGAGCAGGGCTGCAGAGATCGGGCTGGACTGAAACAGAGGAGCGGGGAAAACAGTCAAGCAACAGGTTTGTCCTCCCAGATCTGTTCTTTGTCACCTCGGAGGTGTCCCAGACTGTGGGGGACACCAGGTGAGACGTCTGGTGAGACAAACCCACTGTCAGACCCAGGGCTCCCCGCTCTCCATCCTTCCCCCCGCTCCATCCTCTTCCTCCCCTGGGGCTGGCGCCCCGCCCCGTGCCCGGAGGCGGGACCGGGGCTGGCAGGGAGCAAGAGCTGCGGGAGAGAGCAGGTGGAGAGGCAGTCCAGCCGCACGCTGGACCCCCGGCCCCGTTCCTGCAGCCCTGCGTCCGCCGCTCGCCTGCCGCCCAAGCCCCTGCCTCGGATTGCTGGGCTGGTGTCTGCTGGGGAACTGATGCCTTCGATCCAGACTTACCGCCGATGGCTCTGATCTCCTTTGCCGGCTCCTCAACACCCAGCCTAGGACCCTCGGTCTCTCTGTTGGGAGCGGGGATGCCCACTTTCCTCCTGGCAGGCTGTACTAGCCACGTGCCAGTCGCCTCGGAGTATTTTCCCATCATGTGTTCCTTGCCTCGCTGGGTCGTTGAGCCCTCTGTAGTCTGTGAAAATTCCCCCTGCTTGACCTGTATCCTCCAGGTCTCCTGCTTCTTTGGCTTCCTGGTCTTCACCCCCCTTATTCCTTGACCACACCCTGCTCAGACCTTGCTCTTGGCTGATCCTGCTGTGTCGGAGGCTTTGAGAAGAGCGGACAGCTTCACGTGGAGGTACAGGGAGAGTTTGTCCTTGTTCAGTAGGATACCGACTGCGGTGGGAACAGTTTGGGAGCCATGGGCCGTCGGCTCATCCATGGTCTCTCTGGAGCCGCAATCTTCCTTGCCAGTGTGGCTCTCCTTTCCGTGCGGCACCGTGGGGCTCAGGAAACAGCTCGGTATCCAAGGCTCAGGGAGGGGATGTTGGAGAAGCCAGAGCAACGAAGCAAAGTGAGCGCAGAGAAAGCTGGTGGCAGGGGGCAGAAGGACCTCAAAGTCCGTTCTCTGGAGGGATACAGGACTGAGAGAAGCCTAACACTTGGAGACATTTTCATAGCTGTGAAGACAACCAAGAGATTTCACCAGAGCAGGATGGAGCTGCTTCTGGACACATGGATATCGCAGGCCAGTGAGCAGGTGAGCATCTGGATTTGAACTAGAGAGAAGGTTTTTGGTAATGAGGCAGGGATGGAGTGTCAGGGTAGGGGTATAAAAGCCAAAGGAAGGGGAGGATGGCACTGTAGTCCCACTCAGTACCTTGCCTCGTTTTCTGTAATTCTCACTTCTTTTCACATTGAAAGGGGGATGCTACCCAGCAAAATGTTTCACTAGTAGCTGCTTCATGGGAAAGGCTGGCAGAGAGGCCGCACCAGACTGAGTGCACTGACCATTCTGGGGCTGCATGAAAGGGTGGTTTTCTACCTCCTAGTGCCATGAGTTTGCTAGGTTTGGAGCTGATTTGCTCTCCTGGCCCTTCATCAGGATGCTTGCACTGCACCTGGGCACTCGTTACCCTGGGAAAGTGGAGTGCAGTGGGCAGGAGAACAAGGTAGAAGGACCTGGAAGACTTCCTGGAGTCAGCCCTGTTCGCTCCCCGGCACATCAGTGTAATCCATTCCTGTCTTTCTTGGGTGGATGCTTTTAGGTGCATGATCTTGAAGTGATGAGGGTGTATATTTGTTTTTTAAAATATTTCTTTTAACTGGGGGTCTGATGTTTCCAGCCTTTGCTAAAACCGTGTTTGAAGCGTTTCCTTCCTGTTAGAGGAGCTGATGTGGGTCACCACATTAGTGGTGCTGTGCAGACTGGCTTGCTGGTAGGCAGGAGTACTCCCCAGAGCCCGTGTGCTTTTCTCCCTCCCTCACAGAGCTGCTCCTCAAGAAAAAAGAAATCCTGTGGCTGCCCTGAGGGGTGGCTTTTTTGCCTCTGCCTCTGTGTGATAGGTGCCTAGAAGGCACTTTCAGGCCTCAGTGAGGAAGGGGGATGGGGGCGGAGGTAACTGGGTAGGAGAGCGCTTGAAGCAATGCAGGGTTTTCTGGGTAAGGGTGGTTTTCCACTTCATGGTGCTGCAACTGTCTGGTCTGCTGCGGTTGTCACAGGAAGCCGTGTCCTATTTTGAGCACGCTTCCTCTCCTGTCTGCATGTCCCTCTCAGCATTTGAGGTGCCCTGCTTCCTCCTCCAGAAGCACTTCTCTCTATCCAACCTCAGCCCAGCAACTCTTTGGAGAAACCAAACCCAACCACGTGGCTGCACTGGCATTAAGATATTGTTACCGGGGCCTTTGGAGTGGGTTTTTAAGGGACAGTTTCTTTCCTCATGTGTTTGACAAACCTGGCCATTCTGCTGATGACAGGAATTAGATGCTAGCTCCCCATATTCATCTGACCCTCTCTGTTTGGCATGTAAGTGATGTCCAAACCTGGGAAGAGGTGTTGAATTTTCCATGCTGCTGCCAGCCTCTGGTAAACCTTCACAGACTGAGCAGGAAAATAGAAAGGAAGGATAGAGAGGGAGCATCACTCACTTTTAAACCGTGTTTTTTCAGTGTTACCAATTTTTGTTGTAAGCTCAGCGTTTTCCTTCCCCTCCTCAATTTTCCATGTTTTTATTCTGCTCTTTTTACTAAATGGCTTTGAGAGAAGGGGAATGGGAACAGGAAGAGAGATAAAGAGAAGTACATGAAAGTCAACCCCCTTTTTTTTTTTTTTTAATATATTCCTACTTGAGGGGTTTTTTGAAATTTAGGGGAAAAGGTTAGTTTTGAAAAATTTACAATACAGAAAACCTCACTTAGCAAAAAAAAGAAAAAGTTTTCAGTTTGCAAAGTTCATGTAACTGTTGTGGGGAAAGGGATAGCGCACCAGACCTATTATTGAGTTCTTATGGAGAGGTGTAGGTTTTAGGAGCCAATATTGGAGAGATCCAGGTCTAAGAAGTCCTGATGGACAAAGACTGCCTCCTCCTAAGGCTGACCCAGCATCTTTCTGTCTCACTTGCCCTTACTCAAGGCAGGAGACCAATTCAGTGAGTCCTTCTCCATCAGTGGCCAGCAGGGAAATTTTAGCAGCTGGCCGTGTTGCTGATGCCCGTCCTGGCTTCAGAGCTCATTACCTGCGTGGTGTCCTCCTGGAGGAAGCAACCCAGACCTCATAGGTCGGGCTTAGGTGACTGTAACAGGAGGCAGGAACAGCTGTGGTTTTTATTGCTAGGACAGACTGTATGGGAGCCAAATTAAAAGTCCTCTATGTTGGACTCTGTTGGGGTAGACACTGAGAGAGAGACATTTTCTCTGAAGCTTCACTGCTCAAAGAGAAGATGTGCAGTTGGTGAGAGATGGGGAAGTGTGAGATGGGCACTCTGCTGGACCATGCTCTGCCTCTTGAGAACTGATCCATGACAAAGTCCCCACAGGAGGTTGACATGAAAGTCATTTTAGCAAAAGGCCTTTTCCTCAGCAAAAGTTTAATTTAAATAGAAATGTTGTTTTTGATGATTGTTTAGGCTGGACAGAATCTTGGAGTCACTTACATTCTTGGCCCCTGTAGTTTTGGTGGAGGTATGTCTATCTTTCTGGTCTGAAATGGCATTTTGTTTGGTAATGTAAACCAATTCCAGCAACTCCCCCTCTTTTAGAAGCCCACGTATCCAGCCAAATGAAATGAAACCTTTGAATGACCCATCTGAACTGGCTTTCAGATTTTCAGTGTTGTGAATGCATTGTAGATTTTGAGTCTGTACTCTGGGCAGGACACAACAGTAACCCTGTTGAGGTATTTGCATTTTGGAGGGGGATTCTTCACAGGCAAGGGATACCCTGTGAGCCTGGGAGATGAACCTGGCCTTGGATTGTCAGGTTCCACATCTTTTTTTCCTTTTCCTATTTTTTCCTTGCTAGCCTGCTTTCCCAGTTTGGGGTCAGGAGGTCTCAGAGCATAGTATTTATCCATTGAATGGACTCTTATGTTCATGAAGAGCTGCCAGGCAAAGCTGTTTGACACAGTGGCTCCATATCACTGCTTGCACTGCTGTTGAGCAGACATCATTTCCCAGCCAGACATCTTGTCCACTCCAGAATGGAGGGACACTTTCTGTACTTCATCTCTCCTCGGACCCAGATTGGCTGTCTTGCTGTAGCACTGACAGCTGTCCTGGCCCAGTCTGTGTGCAGAGGCACCATGATTGGAGATCCTGCGTGGCCCTGTAGATGGTCTGATGAAGAACAGAAGAGTAGATATGAGGGGGAGGCTACTCCTGTCTAACCCATTTGCCTGCAGGGGCACAAGTGACATTAGGTGTTTTTCTGCTCCCACGTCCCCAGCAGGTGGAGTAGGTCTGGTGAGAGACCTTCTAAATCTCTTCCAGACTCCCATTAGTATGGACAACAGTGACTGGTGTCTCCTTGAGAAGGAACTGCATAACTGGGCCAAATGGTCTCCAGGCAGGGCTGTTTTCTCTCTCTTCCATCCCAGCCATCGTGTGTGGCTTTGCTGAGGGACACGTGGTGGTGGTCACTTGGATGCTGGCAGCAACTGCTGTTCCAGGTTGCCAACTCTCAGGGGTGTGAGGGATGGAGAGACAAGGATGGAGGCAACTGCCTGAGCTATTGTGATCTTCTTTAGCATTTCTAGAGTACTGTAGCCAGTTTTGCCATGGAGATCAGTTTGTAAGAGCCAGAAAAATCAGATTTACCAAGTCCCCACACTCATAACTCCCTTTTTCAAGTTATTTTGGACAGTCTAGTGTTGCTCATGGTGACAGTGTACCTTCATCATTGGGTTCCCAAAGAAACGTGTTGGGTGTCTGTAAAAAGACATTTCCCATCTTGCATCAAGAGAAAAGTAGGAATCTCAGAATATTTTCAGAATTAGAAAATTTGGGAAAAGATGCAGATTGTTATTTTAAGTCAATCAGATGTGATGTTTGGTAGACACATGATTTCTGGTTGGTTTTATATCTGTAAGCAAGTAATTTCCAGCAACAATATTTCTTGGGGTTTTTTGAAAATGTCAGAAAGTTTCAACAGTTTTTTTTTTCTTAAGATGAAATATTTGTCATAGTGGAAATTTCTGACACTGACATGCTGGCAAGGGAAATCCCATGACACTGACAATCCCTGCCTTGCCTGAAGGTTGTGATATAGTCCCCTGATCCAGAGCAACTCTTTTACCTGAAACTTAGCTAATTGCTTCTTGTCCCATGATTATCTTGAAAGTGATTTTAACTAAGAGATTTTACTGGTGGGGGAGGTAGGAATGCGTGCATGTTCCATTGCTGCAGCTCAGCTGTGGGAGAGTAGTTCACCAAGCCACTGTGGCACATACATCTGAGACCATGAAAACATCCTGCTGCCTCTGCTTGAGCCAGGTGATCTCTGAGTGTCCTTCATTGCCTTCTTTTCACATACGGAACATTTCTCTTGCTGTGTCCTCTTGATAGGGATGTATCTCCCAAATGCTGGGTGGGTGTGGGGAGATGTAGAGACTCTTGTCTCCTTGCCAGAGCCTTTGGGAGAAATGATGGCTCCTGGGGCTGTTGTCTGCCTGCCTTGTTCCCTTTGTCCCTGTGCAGGTGCTGTGTTTAACCAGCCTGTGGGCAGCTGGTGGGGAGACTGTTTACCGCTCGCGACTCCTTTTTGATTTCATGAAAGCTCATTTTCTGCCTGAGGAAAGCTTTTTTCCACTGGCCCTGATCCTCGCCAGGCCCTGAAGAGGGGGAGATGTGCCACATAATGGCAGCGAGGGGGGTTAGAGAAGCCTGGGGGTGGAGGAAGAGGAGGAGGAGGGGCAGAAAGTGGCAGGGGGCTGTGCGCACTTAACACACAGACAGATGTTCTCTTTTTAATCCAAGCATCATTTAACCACAATGCTTTAATTTTTCTACCACTGACACCTAAGCCAGGGCTCCTCACCCCCTCACTCAGTGTCATGGGCCCCCCGTTCCCAAGGCAGTGGGATGGGGGCAGAAATGAAGCCACAAAAGCGCTGATGATTATGCTGTGCAGGAAGGGGGAGCATAGCCCTCCTTCTGGTCAACTGCTGTTTCAACTGCTGCCTGGGAGCGGGCTACAGCAGCAGAGGATGGGGTCGGAGTAACCATATCGTGTGTGTCCAGCTGTGGAAGAAAGGAGTGGGCATCCAGGAGCACCACCAGTCCATTCCTGAGAGTAACCTCTTTTCCTTGTTTTCTCAGACCTACGTCTTCACTGATGAAGAAGATGATGCCTTGAAAAGGAGAATGGGTAATGATCTATCCTATAATACCACGTTTCCACCCTGCTTTCAGCCTCTGAACGGCCACAGCTTTGAGAAGGGGTCTGGCATGAAGGCTGGCTCTCCTGCACCATCACTGCCCATTGAAATATGTCCCTTGCCTTTCCTGTGGGAGGACCTCAAGCTGTGGTGGTGATGATTTGGTGTATTTGTCTTGCCCCAGGAGAGGCAACTGGAGGCAGGGTGCTGCCTGCCTTAAAGCATCTGTGGGTGGAAGCTGCCCATGACAGAGCCCCTCAACCTCTACATCATGGTTGGCAGCGAGCAGGGTGGAAGTGCGGATGACAGGTCTTCTAGTCTTGGCCAAATTACTTGGCTTTGTCCAGGTTTCATCTCCTGGTGGGGGAGAGCTGGAACCCATGTCACCATGGACTGGGGTGCCTGTTGGGAGGCCGTGAGGAGGCTGGCTGTGAACAAACCCCTTCCTTCCTGCCCAGATGTCCTTGTGACTGCTTTCCATTGTGACAGTGCTTTCCCTCTTCTGGCAGGTGACCACGTGATCTTCACCAACTGCTCTGCCGAGCACAGCCATCTGGCCCTCTCCTGCAAGATGGCAGCTGAGTTCGACGCCTTCCTGGTCAGCGGCCGGAGGTGAGGCAGAGCTGGTGTGGGAAGCTCTTGCTTCCCTGAGAGCAAGAGGCACCCTCCTTGCCACAAACCTCTTGTGTTTTCCTATCTTCCCCAGCTGGTTTTGCCATTTGGATGATGACAACTACCTGAACCCTCAGGCCCTCCTGAAGCTCTTGTCCTCCTACTCTGAGACGTGGGATGTTTACCTGGGGAAACCCAGCCTGAACCGACCCATCCGGGCCTCTGAAACACTGCCAAACAACCAGACGGTACAGCCTGTGGTGGTGGTGCAGGGGCCAGTGGGTTATTTTGGTGCTCTGGCTCATGGGCTGTAGACACACTGCAAGGAGAGACAGGTCCCAAGAGCAATGGGCAACAGCTGAACAGCTGAACAGCAAAACTCGCCAGTCTTGTCTGAACATGGTTGTAGGTGTTGACTAAATTTGATCAACCTAGGGGAAGAGTCTCACATTGCTGCTCTGCCTTTGGCTGCCTGTTTGACAGCAGATAAGCCTGCCCTGGGCTGCCCACGTGTTGATACCAGCAGGAGCTTGGCCGTTCCAATTATGAGGAGGTCAGAATAAATGCTGTACTGCTTCTGGGCAGCAGACAGGGGTCTGGGATGACAATAGGGCCATGTTTGTCCTGGCATCAAAGCCAGGTTTCCAACATTACCATCTCTGGGAGTATAGTATTGTCTGAGCCTCTGCCATTGATTTTCTCTGGTGTTTCTCTCCAGAAATCTGTGCGCTTCTGGTTTGCCACAGGAGGGGCTGGGTTCTGCATCAGCCGCAAGCTGGCAAGCAAGATGGTGCCGTGGGCCAGGTGAGCTGCGCAGCTGGTGAGCATGGGAGCCATCAGGGACGAGCAACATGACTGCACATTAATTCCTGGCAGTGTCAGATCTAGATTTGTACATGTAGTGTTTGCAAAGATGCAGAGTGCCACATCGTACACATCTGAAAGCATGTGGGACTGGAGGAAAGATGTAGTGGGTAGGTCTGCCCCTTGACTGAAAACAGGCAAGAGCAGGCACAGCAGCAAACATGATCATAGGATGATATACATCCCTTTCCTCCTCTCCTTTAAGCTCTTGGTTACTCCCCACATTCTTTCCCATCCCTTTCAGCTTCCTCTGACTCTTTTCCTAAGTGCTTTCCCTGTCTGCCTATCTCCTCTCCCCTTCATCTGCCTCTTTGCTTAAGCTCCCTTCTAAGCTAATTTTCTGTTCCCTCACCCCAAACCCTCTTTAGCTTCTTAGAGTAGCCATTGCCATTTCCTCAGCTTGATGCATGGAGAACAGAGGTATGTCCCATGGTATTGTTTTAGTGCAGCCTACAAGAAGATGATGTATTCTATGATACCCTAGGTTATGTCACAGGCTGTATGCACATATACTGGTAGGCATTGGCTTTGCCAGCTGTAACCAGATCTGAGCATACCCAGAAAGACAGATCTGATCCACACCAGGTGGCTGGTTCAGATGAAGCCCGTGATACACATTTTATGGTAGGAGGAGGATGATCTGTGATCTAGTGTAAAGTGAAAGTGGCACAGAGGATAATGCCTAACCTGGCAAAAAGTCTGCCACTGCTTTTTTAAAATGCTTAGAACACATTTGAACTAGCTGAGCGTTGTTGTAGTAGACAGTGCTTCATGCTGCGTAACTGATTCCAGTTACAGAGACCTTAAAATTGGGTATAGCCTATCATCAAAGGATGGCCAAGCATGTGGTGTTACATTACAGTGGAGCCATGGATGGCTTATGCAAGCTGCAAAACTCTTTCTTCTTTCTCCTGGTCCTGGCTGTGTGCTCCCACCGTTTCTGAGCCCTCAGGGGCTCAGCGCCGCTCACCAAACAGGAGGAGAAGTGACTCTTTGAAGTCTGTCAGTTCTCTGCATCAGCTCACTGAGGAGCTGGTACATATCAGGGACAGCACCTGACAATTCGTGGGACAGCACCTGACAATTTGTGGGACAGCATGGCTGCGAATGCTCAAAGAGCAAACACATTCCTGAATCTTTGCAGGTGGAACTCAGGGATTTCTTACCTAGTTCCAGGATTTACTCTGGTTTTCAGTAATCTCCCACCCAAGTGGATGCCTATATCTGCCCCTACCGTTTTCCTAACCCACACAATCCTACTCTCTTCCAGTGGCAGGAACTTCCTGACCACTTCAGAGCTCATCCGCCTGCCGGATGACTGCACCATGGGTTACATCATTGAGTGCAAAGTTGGTGGGCAGCTGCTGCCCAATGCCCTCTTCCACTCCCACCTGGAGAACCTGCAGCTCATCCCCACCTCTCAGCTCATCCAGCAGGTGAGGAGGGGAAATGGAGCAAGAGGGAGGTGTGTGAGGAAGGCGAAGTGGAGGGGAGCTTACAGGCACATTGCTCCATTGATGGCACTGATGTGCATTGCATCAATCATCTGCTCTTCTGGGGAGGCTTTCCTGACAAACGCTCCTTTGAAATGGAGCGGATGTTACCTGCAGCACAGTTGCCAGGCACAGTGTCCTGGGATCAGTGGTGGGGAGCACAAGTATGGGAAGTGATGGAAGGATTGAGGGCATCCCTGGAAGAATGTGTCACAAGGACAAGCAGAAATGATGATTGACTTGGAAAGGGACTTTGACACGGCACCATGTCTACCTTGTGTGGGGTGTAGGGGGCTTGGAGAGGCAAAGGACTAGCAGGGTCCTCCATGGGGAGGAAGACAGGAGAGATATGCAAGGCAGAGAAAGAACCAGAATGGGACCTTCTGTCACCCAAAGCAAGTTCCTTGCTCTTCAACTCACCTCTACTCCCTGCTCATTTCTCACCACCACTTTGTAGGTCACCCTCAGCTACGGTGTCTTTGAGAACAAACTCAATGTTATTGAGCTCAGCGGCCCCTTCTCTCCACAAGAGGATCCCTCAAGGTATGGGGCATGTGGTGTGAGCCCTCAGACAATAGGTTGGGAAGGGGAGGGCAGCCAAGCAGCATGCAGGAGGCAGAGAGTGAGGGACAGAAACCTTACAGTCACATGGCTTATTGGGTGAGGTGCACACCAGCAGTAAGCTGTTTGTGAATGCTTACAAACTTTGCAAATCTTTTTGGATGAGTGGGAGGAAAAGGAGCGTTCAAAACATTTTATTTGGACAATATCTAATCCAAAAGTATTGCAGTTTTTCACATTTTGAGGCTGAACAAGCTAACCTTTACCTCAGGGACAGGAACACAAATGTTCTTTTAAACTCAGGAAAGGAAATTCTGCTTGCTGTTTCATTTTATGCTTTGCTGAGAAAACTGAAGGGAAAAAAGAAAAAGGTTCACTTTGGGCTGACTGCAAACAAAACTGTTCTTTGATTTACCTTCTCCTCTTTGAGTGAACAAACCTAAAGTTGTTATTTGCAGAGCACGGATAGGAAGATCCTGGCTGGAGATAGCAGGGGTGGGAAGCAGCTGGGTTGATGAAAAGAGCATCAACAGAACCATGTAGCAGGGACTAGTGCAGTACCCATCTCCCTGCCTGTGATCAGGGTGAGCTGTGGGCTTGGGCTCCATGGGCCAGAGCTGGATTTGGGTATCAGAGGGAGGCTTGTCTGCTTAGCTTTGCTGAGAAAAGACATCTTGAAGCGAACAACCAGTCCTGAGCTCTGTGGGGCAGGTTGGGCACCTGATGTGGAATGGGATGTGAGGAAAAGGTCTTCCATTTTACAGCTGTGTGCTGGTGTAAAAACTTTTACCTGACCTTATTTTGCTTTCTCCCCAGCAGGTTTCGATCACTCCACTGTCATCTCTATCCTGACACCTCCTGGTGCCTGCAGCCTGTTGGCTGGTGATGCCTGAGCCTCAGCTACAGTTGGTCCTAGTGATACCTATGCACCTTGTAGGGGATGGGACAGTGAAGAAGCTTGGTGTCCTCAATTTTGCCTTTTCTACAGTGGTCGTGGGGCTCTGTGATGGCTTTTTTGGCCCTTGCTCAATACTGGTGACACAGGACAAGAGACAGGATCTGTCCCAAAGATGGATAACATGGGCTGGACACATGGATGAGCTTCCCATCTGTGCTGGGATGGGAGCAGTATGCCTTCTGAGCAGATGAAGGACTGAATAGTAACTGCTGGGTATCTTGGTAAAGATGAGGACTTGCTGCTCTGTGCTGTGGCTGCATCTCGTTGACTAGAAAGTCCCTGGGTGTGTGTAACCAGTGCACAGCTGAGGATGGCTGGCAGCATGTCATTGCTCCGGACTCTGAGCAGGGCCTCTTCCTCCACATCTGCTTGTGCTTTCCCTACTTGCAGCCACTGCCCTGCTGAGTCTCTGCCTAGTCAAGGTCTATAGAAATGGAATGTGACCATTTCTGTCTTGAATGAATCCTGGAGAAGCGTGGTCCTTGCTCAGCACAGGGGAGATGGACAGGAAGTACAAAGAATCAGGAATCCCTTGCTCTGCTGGGACAAGAGAGGAAGAATGAAACGGAGCCAGGAGAAGACTGATGGAGATGAGGACAGTTCCCGGATTGAACACTGAGGGTCTGATCTTGTATGGTGCTGCATTATTCCTCTCTTTTTACCTTCTTGATGTGGGGTCAGGATAATCTCTTGCTCTAATTACCAACCTGTCGTCTGAGATTAGACTCCAGCTCCTGTCTGTGAGAGGAGACATAAAGGATTAGAACTGGCTTTAAGAGAGGAGAAAGGAAGAGATGGAGAAGGAGCTCTCAGGAGCGGATTAGGGGTTACAGCTTTATAATCTTTTCTGTCCCCGACTAAAAAAATTAAGTCATGAAGGAATGGAAACAGCAAGGCAAAGAGCTTTTTATCTCTGCGTTTCTTTACTCCAGAGGCTAATAGGAGCTTTCTGCCTACCTGCTGTCCCTGCCGAGTGCAACAGGGAGAAGGAGAGGCCCCAAATAGGTTACAAGCTTTCTGGCGTGTTTGTGAAGAGTCCTATACTCAATAGAGAGCCTGGCGTGAAACCTGGGCAGTGCTGCTTGCTGGGGAATGAACTTTGGCATCATTTTGTCCTTATGCATATGGTTAAACCGCCGGGGGAGAGCATTGCAGGGAAAGCTAAAAGGCAAACAGACTGTTTTAAATGGCAGGTGGTGCCACAAACAGGTATTTCTCTTTAAAGAGCATTTCAAAACAGACTGCTGGGATCTGTGAGAGGTCCTGTAATCTCCAGATGAAAGGACAAATGCCCTTTCTCCAAAGAACTGCTCAGCTTTGATGCTGCTGATGTGACTAAGCCTGCTGCTGGTGGGTTGGAAGAGCCAAAGGCAACTGTCACTGTGGCTTTGCTGTTTTGAAAACTGGCCACTCTGTCACCTCCTTCCCCCCCCACGCACTAGCATCTCCTACACAGCACACATGAGGTTTAAAGGAATGGCATCAGAAAGACGTTCCACCTCTGCAAAGGGGATCTAGAAAGGAACGAGCACTTTAATGTCAAGAGAAGCAGAGGGCAGCAGCCTGTAGAGCTGTTTTCCAGCCTGGTCATTCTTACTGGCATATAATCAGCTTGTGTAGCAGCAGAGACCCCTGCTTTCTTCTGTTGTACAACATGCCTTTGAACTGGAAATTTGTCCTGAGCAGGGACAGGGGCCAGCTGATGCCAATGGCCATTCCTTGAGTTGTGCAAAGCACTTGGCTCACACAGCTGAGCTCACCAAGGAACCATGCGACACAAAACAGACACACAACTATTGGAAGAGAGATGCAGCATAAAGAAGTCCCGCCCCACAGGGCAAGCAGTTGGGTTTGAAGAAGATGAAATACACTTTCATGAGAAGAAATGAGTCTTCAAGAGAAATCTACACTACTTGGATATATCCTTTTTCCCCATTCAGACTTTCAGCTGATGTTAATAGAGACTTTGAGTTAAAAAGCCAGTCCTATCTGTAGATGTCCTGGTGACAGTCAGAGCAAAATGCGATTCATGTGAGGAAACTGGTATAGCAGCTTCACTTCCCTGGGGAAAAGCAAAGCAGAGAAACTGAAAGCTTGCTTTAGATCCTGGCCTCAGCTGGTCTGAATTGACCTGGTGTCTTTTGCATGTCTGAAGATTAGATGTTTAATGGGTTGAGTCCTTGAGTGGCTGCATGGGGACCAAGACTGGGCTTCGTTGCTGGAGCAGTTAAGTGTCACTTTTGTGGAAAATGTCTTGTCTTATAAGAAAACAGAACAGATGAGATGTCTGGGGCAGGGCATCTCTTGGGCTGTAGGGAAGCGAATGATAGAAAAATCCTGTTATGCCTGTGACGACAATATGCTGGAAAGAAAATAGCTTCTCAGAGTCGACAAAAGAAACCAGGTTTTCTCTACGAACAGAGAGACAGCTTAACGGGACATTCACCACATGAAATCTGATCAATGTTAAAACATGAGTTAAAATTAGTTTCAGGAATGGTTCCTACCCCTGGGGCTTGCTGTCAGATGCTATAGTTTTACAGTCTCATTTTCCTTGTTTATTAAAATGTTTAGCTGCTTGGGAAAATGAGAAACAATCTCATGTGAAACTTTTCAGGGGACTGTCTTTTTTTATTCTCTTTCATGATTTTCTGATGTAACAAAGATTCTGGAGAGGTTCCGCTGGGTCTATTAAATTTCTATTTTTTTCTTCTCTCTTTTTTTTTTTAATGTCTCTACCTTTCTCTAGCTCACTCTTCCTTTTCTTATTGCAGGAAAAAAAAACAAACCACAAAAAACTCTCCAAAGAATGAAAAGGAATAGAGACGTGGTCTTTATATTTTACTGGTAAAAATGGGGTCAAAGTCAAAGGTGTTGGCATGACCCTGCTGTTGTACAACATTAAGTGTAGTTCAAGGTTTCAAGTACAGAGACCTCTGCCTGCCCAACACCATAGCAACCAACACTATTAATGATGTTTAAACTGTATACTGAAAATTCAGAAAAAGGAGAAGGAGGGGGAAAAAAAAGCAGTTACAGTATTTGAAATGTAAAATATTAAGTGAGGCTTTCATGTTAACAATATCTTTTCTTCACTTTCCCCTTAGCGTGAAGAATTTTTATAAGAAAACCCCTATTTGACAGTGCAAAAAAAATGCTAATGACTATCCTTTCTTTAGGGGGAAAAGAGAAGTTAGTTGAAATAGGTGGGAAACTGCAGTTGTTGCTAAAGACTTGAAGGGGAGAGAGAAGAATAGCAACACTAGACAATGCTTCTGTCTCTGGTGCCAACTCCTCTTAACAGCTCTGCTGCCGCAGAAAAACAGATTTTTAAGCCACTGTGGGATTTACCCAACTTGTACCCAGATTGCAGCCTTCAGCTCTCTCCCCAGGCTTCTTGCTAAAGAAGCAGCCTTCAAAAGACAAGCAGTTTATTAGACAGAAGCCAAAAGATGAGAAATAGGAACAGGAAAAAAGGAGATTGGAAGGAAAGAAACCACTAAGCAGGGCCTTGGAGGAGAGCATGGGAATTTCAGCTGTGCATTGAAAATGGTGTTTGGGAGCTGCCCAGCAAGAACAGGAAAAGGGGTGTTGCCTGCCCCCACCCCTCCCCGCTCCCCCCAGCTCTGGATGCTTTTTTGTGATCAGGACAACTGCAGCTCACCAGTGCCACTGAAGATGCCAGCCTGTGAGTCAGTTCACCTTGGAAGGGGTGGTTTGGTTGGCCCTGAACCTCTTTTTTTTTTTTTTTTAAATAACACTCCAGATAAGTCAATGTCTTTTCATCAATGTTATACTCAATTCCTTACAGCAGATTTAGCTTCTTAATTTAGATACTTCTATCCTTGCTTACAATGCAGGCTTTTCAGGCAGTCCAGGGTGGGGTCAGCAGCTCCTTTCATTAATTTAATTTATTTCTTTTGTCTTCAGTCTCTGAAATTGAGATTGACAGCTGGCTCTACACACTTCTGTGATGGATGCAAAGCTGAGGGAGGGTGGGTGACTGCTCCATTCAGTTATTGCATGGTCACAAAGAGGCATGGACCATCCTTATGTTCTTCCTGGAGGAACCTGCTAGCAGTTGGTGCCAGAGATGGAATTTCATACTAACTGGGACTTTCTTCTGTACCAAATCATGCTCATAATATGGCTCCACTGAAGAGGATGCAAGTGTTACCACAGATATAAACAAGACCAGGAAGAAGAGCACCATCATAAATATACAAGTAATTGTGCCTGTTCTCACCAGCTCATGCAGGAATTTTTCCTGTAGACTTTCTACACAAATACCTGGGAGGTTAAAGGAATGCAGAGCTGAGCTGTTGTTACTCAGATGGCATTGCCTCTTTAAGGCTGTCCCCTATAGGCCTGAGATTTTTGTCACTTCCTGCTTGATCCAGCTTGGACTCCAAGAAAGCTGAGAACTCCTCTCTCTCCCTATTTGAACTGTATGTGATTAATTACAGACCCCGAGAATGGGCTCCTTGCCTGTCTCTTGTGTTTAAATTGCCTTCCAGCATTTTGCAAGGCTAAGGAGCCTCTTCAGATTTTACATCTGACTGTGCCTTGATCAAGCCTCCCTTGGTTTTGTTGGGAGCTGCATCTGATCCATAGTGAACTTCAGGAACAAATTAAACTGTGTGCTTTGTACGTGGATTTGCTGACCCTGACCCTTCTGATGCTGCTTGAAAAGAAGACAGTGTTGATTTTAGCAGTGTAGGAAAAAGAAACAGGACAATTGGATGGGGAGAGATGCTGCTATTCTGAAACTCTGCTTTTGCCATCCCACCCCCAGAAGTGGGGCACAGAGAGAATCTGCAGCTGGTGCCTTTGGCCATGGTGTATCAGATGGAGGATATGCCATGAAATACCCAGCAATTGCACTGGCAGCGAATCCAGCAGCTCTGGTTATGAGCCAAGGCCAGCTTGTACTTCGTGCTGGACAGGGTGCCTACCCTGAATTACTTACAAACAGAGATAGGATGGGGAAGGAGGGGAGGGCTTACATGATCCATGAGACAGTATTGTCATGTCTAAGCAAGAAGAACAAGATGGTCTTTGGGCCAGGGAGGGGCAGAATTCAGGAGCAGAGTTCCCTCTTCACCCAGAAATACCATGAAGTGACAGATCTGAAAGATATTTGATATAAGCACGTGG